ACACCCTGAACAATGACATTTTATATTTATATACAGGCATAAGTTAAAAGACATCCACTATTGAAAAATTAACTCGCTTTATTTTACAGAACACTGAAAGGCAGACGTGTATCTAAGTAGCACTAATTTGCTCGCTAACTTATACGCTTCCTTGAATGGTGAGACTATAATTTATGGACGAATCAGTGGAAACAAGAATAGCAAGTCTTGAATTTTAGCGAGAAAATCAATAATCCACAAACTTAATTCTCGTTTTAGGATTATAGCTGATACCAGTCCTTGATGAGAACCCTTGTCTGAATCAATAACCTTGAATTTCAACAAATAATCTCATATCCCAGTTCCTCATGTTATTCAACAAACCTGCTTTCACCACAGAAAGTACGTGAGTTGTTTTTAGGTCACTTGAGCGTCTCTCAAGGTGGTTCATAAATTATCGTGAGAATATTATTATTTATTACTTTATATATTGCAGCTGAACAAAATATTTGCTCTGTTTTGGGTGTCTTCTACTTAAGGATAATAGTAGTATTATTGCAACATCTTGTTTCAATACAGCTTCTGTAGACCAGGAAGTTATTTTTCAAGACGGTTCTACTGTATGCAACGGAAATTTGAAGTATTACGAAAGACATCATCCAGCCGCCCACGCAAAATACTTCGGATCCGTTGGTCGAAAACCCTCAGCAACCACATACCATGGGAGAAAACAAATCAGAACCCGGCGGAGGAACAAATCTGGAAGAAGCGCTGGAAGTAGGTAGGACAAATATGGGAAAAAGCACTCAACTGTATCACAAAGCAAGCCCTCACGTGGATCTATCAAGGGAAGAGGAGAATAGGAGGATCAGAGAATAAATTGCGCTAAGAAAATGAAACAGGTATGAGAAGAATGAACAGCAGTTGGATAGAATCAGAAGAGAAGCCCAGGACAGAGTAGATTGGGAGTGACAGACCTAGATGAATGAGAATTTAGCTATTCCAAACCTTCTACACCTGAGTATAATTCAAATGTGGCTTTGAAGAATTTTAACGACTAAGTGAATGAGGTATGCCGTAAATGAAGGTCAAATACACTTGTAGTGAACAAGAACACGGGTGGGGACAACCGATTGTATTTAGCACAAAAATTACAGACTATCTCAATAAAATGTGAATACCATAAAGTCAATCGTCAATTTGCAAAATATCATTCCATCATATCAAACTGTATTGTTCCCGTTGCAAACACTAATCCATTGTCTCCCATTCCATTGTACATGCGTTTTCTTACAATTCCATTGTGCTCTTGCTCTTCCTTTCTTGATCTTCGCCATTTTCTGCTGCCGGACATTACGTTCTTTTAACTCACGTTATATACTACTTATATAAGTAGCTCACACCACACACTCTCCATATTCATCAGCGAATTAAAGGACATCGTAGTGAACGTTTGAAAAATATATACATAATTTTTAAAGACGCCACTACATTCACCATTGGATCAACAATGAGAGTCATGTTTCATTTCAAAACTCAATAACACATTTGTTTAACAGAAGTGATACAGTTCAATATAACTCACTACGGGTCTTCAGAGCAACAGGTATTCTCATGAATATTAAACTTCAATTGTTACTCATAAAAAAATTTTCACATTTATTATACAGCTGAATCCACCTTTTAGTAAACTAGTTTGAAAATGAAAGGGATTTAATAGGCGCTCCAATTTTAAAAAATAACGTTCTCATGAGAAATTTAATGTTCATATGTTTGAATGCCAAGATATTAACAAAAGTTTGGGGAAACCCTGGGAGATGACTTGTAACTGATGCCTCAGGTATTGCTACTGCAGATTTTCAATGTCTATTATAATTTTTTTATTGACTGCTTCAAGCGAAGGCTTAAACTCACTCGCCTGCAATACAAGAACTCTGGATTCGGTGTCGACGGCTGACCAGGACATCATCGAAAGTCAACAAGACTCTTGCTTACGTTTATCTAGCTTCTTACCCAGCATTTCGACCAAACAAATGCTGAGCATTTATCATTACCTATTAACGTAGAGGTTTTGATGTTATGCTCCCAGAAATTAACGATTGTTTGGCACCATGTTTTGATAAATGGTCGAGGACGCGAAATAAATTAAAAGACGAGATTATGATGAACTTGTAACACAGTGAATTTTTTTGAGCACACCATGGACTGTAACTAAACACTATCTGGGAAGCAAGATAGCATATAACATATAGCATACAATGTCGATATAACTGGCATCCATAAGTATATATCAATCGACAACCGAGTCTCCATTGAATGTCCATGAATCCTACGTTCGAAATGAGGCCATTAACAAGTCCACTTCATATAGGTGAGAAACCAGTTAAGGTAGCGATGCGATAAGGGCATTGGACAAACTCGAGTAAAGGTGGTAGTATTATTATTACGAATATTAACGTTAGTCAGTGAATTTTATCCAAGAACGTTTCAGAACAGCTTTGTAAACACAATATCCGCATCCTCGTTACATCTGGTTGTGCTCAAACGGCCAACACCATTCACCTGTGAACTGTTACAAACAATTAGCTATCCTCATAGTGCTTCTACATATGACAGTATAGGTCGAAAAATTAGATGACTTCCATTTGATTCTCTTCTGTTCTATTATGCGTAACTGATAAACTGTCGTGCAGTGTGATATGTCTTTCAGATGGCAGTTCTGAACATCAAGTCCCCTATAAGCAAGAAAAATGGTCATGATATTCGAAGCAATCAGTCACTTTCATAAATTCGGATAGCGTGATAAGAATAGAAAGATTATCAGAACTATGCAAGATACTAGCGCAATGCATTCCGAACAATCTGATCACGTATATACTTGTTGAAAAAATTTGTATATAAAAATAAAGGTTCAACTAGACTGGGAATGGAGGGTAAGTGGAAACAAACATAATAAAAAAATAATATGAAAAACTACTTGAAGCCTCATCACACTGCATAATAAACTAATATTACCAGGACAGGATTAAAATGAGAACAAACGTTTTTGAATACATAGAGCATGTTTCAACTTTCATATGCTTAAGGCCTCAATAAACCATAGAATACACCGTTTTACACTTTTTTACAACACCACAAAAACCGTGTTAAGATCAATCTTATTAGCCGTTCCAAGCACGTGTTTGGCAATAGAGAATGATGGATGTTTATCATCTACTGTTATTGGATCATTTGATTTTATTTGTTCTTGCAACCACTTACGTACATGTTCGCACACTCTAATTCGAAGATCACGATTACTCCTCCACATGTATGTATGGCCACACACACATATTCAAATTGATAAACACAGTGGCACGTGGCGCAGTCGTTTTCATGACTTTTACGTTTTTGCTGAGTCATGGACCTTGTTTTCTCCTTCATTACGATCTTTACTGCGTAATTTGTTCTGTCAACAACTTATTTAAGCCTTTGTATCGGTAAAAAGCTATCTGAATCACCTCCAAACCGAAAACTGATCTAGACAAGTTCCTTTCTGCCAAGGTTATAGTACGTCTCAATACACCGTGACATTTCCAACTATTTATGAATTTTAAGGGGTAGCCAGTTTGCACTAATGTTTTGTTTAACAACCTTACGTCGTCATCAACAGCGTCGTTTGTGCAAACACGATCAATCCCATTAGACAGACTGCTCACCGAATCTCGTTTGTATTGCACTGGGCAGTAACTATTGTGAATAAGGTATTGGCCCGTCCACGTTGGTTTTTTAAAGACGGGTGAACGGATCTCTTTTGGGGTACTTTACTTCGTGTTAGACCTTTCAGAATGTGGCACTGAAAAATTCGATGCAGTACTCAACAAGATATAGGAAACCTAGTGGGACGCTAACTATAAAACATCATAGCCCTATTGTGTCTACGAAAAGGTAGTTCATTACAGAAAATAAGCATAGAATTTACGTCGCGACCTCAAAAGGACCACTTGCTTCAATGATAATGATGTATATTCCAAAAATAATTACAAGTTTCATCATATTATGGAAAATGAAACAGTACAAGCATAAAGTGCTTTGCAGCCCGCCGTTTTATTTACACTATCAACGTACACGATGTGTCGGAATCGGGACCCTCGATGTCCATAGTAGGTGAGGCTCCAGACTACGATGGGACAGCCACCAATGTTACCTGGTTTAACGGCTCTGCGGTACAGCGGACCCCAAGATTATAAGTTTATACGAGATTTACATCAAGATTATGACTTCGCACTACTAGAGGGATCGATAAATCAAGGTAAAGTATAGGACTAAGTCCTTGGTGCACTTACCTATACCACTAAAACGAAAGGTAATTCTTATATCATAAACTTGGCATACTGAATACCCAAGCTACAAAATCTTATGCAGAAGTCGCATTATTCTCTATACTTATTTGTTCTGCCGTTAGTCAGTAATATGCTGTTTATGAACCTTTTTAGAACACATAGCCTGGGGAGTAGAATAATATATTTGATTCAAAAAGGTTGAGGTCACGCAGAATGATCAAGTCCACATGGCCGAGCAAAGATATTTCGATTAAGTGTCTTTGTGGTTATATATTCTGACTTTTCACAGTTGTCCAAAAGCTAATCTTCATCTTTAGCTTCAAGGATCGTGCAGCTACTATGTGTTGATCGGTACCAGTCGGCAGTTAAGCTGGCCAATATCATGCACACAAACAACAAATACGTTTCACAAGGCTTTTACATCATTAGCTAGGTATTCAGTTCGCACTGTTGAAAATGTTAAGTGATTTATGAATAATAAGCAAATAGACGCACTAGTAGTGTGAAATATATTCATCATTTTTAGGTTCAAATGTCGCCACCAAGTAACCAGAGTCAAAATTAATAAGTCAAGAAATATAAGAATTTATGTTGATATAAAAGTTCGCCAACTCTAGAAAAATAAATCCTATTAAAAACACTATGTACAATCAGTAAAATGCAAAACATGGTTAATATATATGTGCTGTAAAAGTCATGTTATGAATTCGAGGGAGCGACTGAATCTTCAAGATCTGTTATTGCCCATGGATAATCAGTAGACGAACCATCAAAAGCCAAATCTACGAAAAATAAAAATATTGTAAAGGACTTGTAAACAGAGTGAGTTAAAGTAAATAGCTTTCTGTAAAAACTTATTGATAGGTTGATCTCTCCAAACTTGTTACCACTAAAGCTAATCCCTATATGCATACTAAAAATCTACATTGAAACTTTAAGTACGCTTAGAAGGTTAATCAGTTGGGTCCCTTGAAAAATAATATTCTACAGTGTGGGCAACCGCGAAAGGAACAACTGTCATCAAACCCCTAACGACTTTCAAAATTACCTTGAACAGGATCGAATCCATTAGCCACATTATAGTGCTCCACCAAGTCAATTTGAAAAGTTTGTCAGATTTACCCTTTCTGTATCTGGGGACCTGACTAATGCTTATCATGACCTCACTAACGTAAGTGTAAAGTTAGTTTTCAGAGCAGAACAGGCTCTCAGGGACTACAGTCCGAGAGTCAGTCTCTTACACGCCGTGCAACTAAATGGGAAGGTAGAAATTCGGAATAGGGACGGATGCCGTTCTCTTTCAGAAGGTTGAAACCCCAAACAAAAAACGATGACAGGTGATTTTAATGCCCAACCAAGCAAGCAGTCTATACCAAACCGGAAGTCATTTTAGTATTAATGTATTGCAACTCAGTATAAATTTAGTGAGTACTGAATCCTTCAAGTATGTTCAGTTAAACACGCTTTTCTAGCAAGCATCAACCTGCAACTAAGAAATCGAATCGTCTGACATGGCAACTCCAAAATCGACCCACAGACGGATGCAAATAAATTATTGTAATGAACAAAGACTTGGTGGGGAAAACGGGTTTACTGTTTTGTGAAAAACCAAACTGCCTTCGTAAAATATGAAATCCCCCAATCCTGTTGCTACCCCTCTTCTCTTAATTTAAATCACATACGTCTGTCCACACCGCATCATGTTGCGCAAAGCCGTCGTTAGAGATGCTTAGTGGATGACTATCATCCATTCTAGAACATATGTCTAGACTTTGACCATGTTCTAGTATGAGCACGCATTTGTATGCATCGTACTGAACGCAGAAGAGTCAGAGCAATAAGGCTAGAGTTCAACATAACGACGTAAATGTCAAGAGTATATTTTATAAACAGCTAGGTGGAAAATTAGTCAATGTTTACTCCAGATACCAAAACACCTGTAGAAACGGAAGATCTACTAGCAGCTTCAACCAAAAAGGTTGAAGAGATTAGTAGGATATAGTTGCTCCCAATGAATTAAAGGTTGCTAGGATCTTCGACACGAGTGGTAATATCGGGATGATTTTCAACACCAAGGTACCGCATAAAAAGAGAAAGTAGTTATATTCGTAGTCTTGACGTAGGTCAAATCATATCAGGTCCGAAAATCGATGGGGAAATGCAATTATTGAAGAAAGAATGGGAAATATTTTGTACAAAGTGTGCGGGGCGCTTAGAACTCTGATCACAAATACAAACTAAATCCATAAAAATAAGAGGACAAGGAACACGGAAGACATGCAGGTGAATCTACCACTGGAGATAATAAATAATACTTCAATGGTGGAAACGCCAAAGGACACCGTAAAGAACAAAAGAATGAAGAAGCGGATAATGAAGAAACTAAAAAAGATGGAATACAGCCACAAGCCAGTTATCAAGGTACAAGCAGACCCCAAAGGAAACTCTGACTTCGAGGCGTTCGGACGGCTCCCACAAGGCGAAACAAAGCCCCAGAGGCTCTAAAAATCGCAAAGGAATTTCATCCAACCAGAATCCGAAAGAACTTTCTGGAATATCGAGGTGGTATGCCCCGGCACGACCGAGGGTGGGGAGAATCAGCCCTATCCTTTGAAACGCTCTAACATGACCACGAGCATACAACCATTACCAGGGAGGTTCTACTTACTGTCTTTTCGCAGTGGGGGTGTTGTTTACGAAACTGGGAGAACGAAAAGTGAATGTCCAGCGTTTTAACTGGGTTGGTGGATACGGAGGGTCCACCTAAAAGAGTTAGAAAATCCTGATTCCAAACCAGTGGTGAACAAGGGCTCCAGGATCCTGAAGGACAAATGGCGTACGGGACAGTTACCGGTCACAAAATACCAGGGGACTGCATCTCCTGACGTTGCTCTACTGCCTTGTGGATTAGACATTTAGGTAAAGGGCTCCGGGTGTGGCCCCCAAAGAAAATCACCAGTTTCAATCTGGGCACCCGGGCAGTATTACAACCCAAACACAAACAAAATGACGATAATAACTGAAAATGTTATTCTCGCCTCGATTAAAAGTCCGACAATTCATATCCGATATTTTTATATACAACGTCACTTATTCACTCTCTTGTATTCCCCCTTTGTGTATACTTATTTTTCAACTTACACACCAGCTCGCTTATGGTGAAAACTGTTCTATCTAAACGACTTCAAATCACTGATTAGTCGAAAATTGAATACTACTACCGAATATGAATACTGAAAGTCTTTCTGTAACCACGTGCACCATTCAAACTGGCTGCCTTCAACGTTCGCACACTCATGCAGGTTGGACAACAGATAGGGCTGGCTATGTCTTTGGAAAGTCTTAATATCGATGTTTGTTGTCTATCCGAGACCCGTATTCAAGACTCTGGTGAAGTACTACAAATTCGATCTCCATCTGTCGCTTCGAAAAGCTTGTTTTACGTGCGCTTATTCGAGGACCCCGTGGCATCTTCGTCTGGTCTTGCTGGCGTTGGTGTCGCACTAAGCGCTAGAGCTGAGGCAGCACTAATCGACTGGATCCCCATTAACAGTCATTTATGTGCTGTTAGATTAGAAAGTTTCATCAAAGATGAAATCGGTGCGAAAAACGATGTCATTTCGTCATCTCTACCTATGCTCCGACAGATTGCAACCAGTATGCGATCAAGTATGAGTTTTACCACCAGCTAACAGTTCATCTACAGAAAGTGCGTTCGACAGATATTGCAGTATTAGCCGGAGATCTGAATGCTCAGGTCGGACGTCTAGGCACAACAGAGAGTCGTTTAGGTGGCCAATGGGGACTTGTTGGTCGCAGGACAGATAACGGGGACTGTCTACTAAAACTGTGCACAGACCACAACCTGTTTCTGGCTAGCACTAACTTTCGGCACAGTCATCGCCGATGTGCCACTGGGCGTCCTCCCTCTGCACCCCAAGCCTGAACTCAGATTGATCACATCGCGATCAGTTACCGCGGGAGTGGTTGTGTACAAGACTGCCGCTACTTTCGGAGCACCTATCTGGACTCTGATCATGCCTTGGTCTGCGCCCATCTTACCTTACTTCTCAGTGGCCAACAAATTCATAGTCCTAAACGGACCAGTCAGTCAGTCAGTAACAACGTAGAACTTCGTACGTACGTACATCAGTTCGAGTTGCCACATTAGCACAGAGATGCAGTTGTCGATTCAAATCCCGTAGTGGTAGAGGTAATAAGAGTATAAGCAGTAATCGGGAAGATTAGGGTTTGGAGATGTTATTTCCAACGGATCGGTGTCAGTAAATAAGTTGCAGCTTCTCTTGCAACTCAATATCAAACCGAGCTAGGTTCAAGGGCAGCTAACGTTCCACCGAAAAAAATGTTATGTGGTGCATATGTATTTGATGCCCTTTGTACCAATATTTATGTGTTCAAATAAATAAAATGGTATAAATAAACAATTTCATATAGTAGTGAATCGGCTGGATTAAAATTGTTATAGCCCACACGAAAAAAATTACAAGTACACCTTTTTGTACATTTTCGACACTTAATAAAAGCCTCTGCTTTCTTGTGTCTTTTTTCGACTTTGAAATTGTGAGTTCTGCGTGTTTGAGTACTGAAGCCGAATACCGTATTAGCCGTAATCAAGTAGAGGATGTAACAGTTTAAATAACTTTTTTATCATAATATAATGGTTCAGGACGAGATGAGAGCTAGAAAACTTAGTGACAAATCTGGATGACCCACGAGAAACATCGACTCAACAAAAACTTATCACATAAGTTGTCTCCAAAGATTTTACCATGCAAGTTTAGCTTAATTAAATAAAGTGAGATAATGATTAATTTCAGCTGACCATCTTCAAGGTGTAAAACACTCAACAATAAGAATCAATTATTGAAGTGAAATCGACATTTAGTTAGTTCAGAGTTTAGTCACGGAGATTAGTTAGTAACCAACCAGAAGACTGATGAATGAAATACTACACCGTGACTTCCTTTTAATTTCAAATATCATACTTGTTAGTATATAATTTAGTTTGCAACCAAAACAATCTCATTAAGGCTAGTAATTAATTTTCTTACATTTATCTAACAATATGATAAAAAGAAATGGATAAAAGAAAAAACCTCATGCATTGTTTTGACTTACTATCTGAATATTTAGTTTTTGGTTGTACATAAAACTGTTCACGATTAAATACTCTAATCTCTCCAGATTCCAGTTGAACCTATTGTGAAGTAGAAACAAATTACTGAACAAATTGAAACTATGGGAAAAGCTATGAGAATAATATGAATTAATCAAAAATAAATAAATGAGATACCTTTTTTCACAAGTTGAACAACAACAACAAATATATATTTAATGTACTTACTTGACTACTGATTGTCATCTTAATACCGAAAAGAATAAATACTCGAAATAGACGACATAAAAAACTAATCTGATTTCCATAAATTAGACACAGGAGATGAATTCATTAAACTTTCTGTTGTAAAATATATTCCAAAAAAACACTAAAATTGTTATCAAACAATTGCAGTTACACATCATAAACCGAAATTCCGTCATTTGATAAGTTGTGTGTTGTTATAATAAATTGATCCAATCCAGACAGATAGATGAGAGGGATGAATTGATACAAAGTAAATAAGTGATGAATGATTCAGAGACCGAATTACTGAACACGAGCCCTCAAATTGAACTAATATCAGAAAACAAGACAGATGACCAGCAGAACAGGTGTTTTCTTATTAAGAAAATAACACGCTCTTATACACAATAATGAACACAAAAGTATGATTATAACTCATTTAATAAATTAGCGGTTGGCGGTTACAAGCATTATAGGTTATCCAATCACCAACGGAATTAGTGCATGAATATTAGGCTTACTTTATTGCAGTCACATTACATCATGGATCGATACAACAGACATTAATTTTATTCGTATCAACACATTCACTGTAGATTTAATTGATTCTACATCGAAATCTGATTTCTAAACATCTCTATACTGAAATCATTTCTTCAAATATATGAAAAGCCGCAAACGATGTACAACATTAAAGAAAAACGAATGGGACGAAACTCCGTGTGATTTCCTTTATCTGTTCTATAAAAGTGGAAATATTTGTTTAAAATGAAAATATTATCGTGAACGAAAACTCAAATACGCTAAACTAATTTATTGTTATATGCAAAATTACACAGTGCCTTTACAAAATATGAAAATCATACATCAAATAAATTATTTTTACATCTTCCTTCAGTTGTGCTTTACGTACTTCTTTATTCTTTTAATTCCGTTATTATTCCGATTTCTCATCAGTTTCCTTCCTTTTCTCCTTATTTCACTAGATGCGAAACGTTTTTGGTGCTGAGATGACATCGGATTTAGATGGCCCAAAAGGTCAATGCGACATTCCGACGAATGGCGTGGCACAGACTGCGACAACCTAGAAAGCGGCACGTCGAGCAGATTGACCGCAAGTGACCTTCTTTTGAAAGCGGGATGAGTGTGGTGTACGCTACGTATTTTGACAGATTTTGGTAGTATGCAGCAGCAATCGGAAATGGGATGCTTGCCAGCAAAACATTTAATTAAAGAGAAGAAAAAGCGAAACAGAAAGCAACCGGAATAACAAAAGAATTGAAAGAATAATAAAGTACGTAAAGGACATCTGAAGGAAGATGTACAGATAATTTAATGTATGATTTTCATATTTTGTAAAGGCACTGTGTAATTTTGCATATAACATTAAATTGGTATAGTTTATCAGAGTTTTCGTTCACGACAATATAATACATAACATGTTTATTGAAGGTGCATTTAGTATGAATAAACAATAAAATGATTTTTATCCAAGAGCAGCTAGCAAGCTAATAGGACGATAAGTGTTCACTAATAGAACGTGGATGCTCTTGAAAATATGTTCAGTGTTACTTGAAGCAGCTGGTGAATAAATATGAAGCATAACTAAACTAAATTCCAACATAAATGTTTTTATTCTGTCGATCACGATACACCACTCTATAATATTGAATTGTTTGTTAATGAAATTTATTCTTAATGTGTTGTCTATTATATGTATAAATATAACTACTGTTATTTGCTGGAAGGTTGCCTAACATCATCAAAACATTTATGATTCTTTCGTTCATATGAGTTTGATAATAGAAGCAAAAGAGTACTGGATGGTTTTTAAAGTAATATTCACAACCTTTTGTATCCCAAGTCCACTGATGATATCCAGACATGTGAAACTGTTAAATATTGATAAAAACGAATACAGATTGGGATTTCCGGATGACCTACAGTGAGTTCAATTTATGAACAATTAAGAATCCTCCAGCATGAACACAACGAATAAACTCAAATAGACCAGACGTCTGGGCAGGCAATCACATTACAACTTTTACAATCTACCCACCAATATGAGATAGAGGAAGTGGTACTTCTAGGAGAGATTTACATTTCGAACAGATGTCGAAAACTGAACAACTGTTTATACAGTAACATGTAATGACTCTGGAGCACTTAACAACGTTAGTAAGCTAAAAAAACAATAACAATCAGCCAGATAACAGGAAAGGTCGTTGTGAAAATATGAATTAGGGAAAATGTCATCGGAGTTATCCTTCAATGAAATAACATGTAATAACGAAAAAACTAGACAACCTTTGATCTTCTTGGCAGAAAATATGGAAACCTGATATACACATCGTTACATCAACATATGCTTGACTCAAACATTTGATTATTTGACAAAATGTGTGTAAAGGAAATAAATGTGAACGTTTTACAACTTCAATATATGGCCAATATTTAAACAATAATTACACTTACTTCCCACTTTTCAGAAGTAGTACCTTCATACGTTCCCGCATATTCCATTCCATCATCCCATAAAACTTTGATAAATGATCCTTTTTCTGGAGGTCCATCTTTGAACCAATTAACATTCTAAAAGTGAAGAGAAGACTAGATGCATTACTGCCTTTAAAAACACTAATTTTATTCAATAATCAGAACCGGTACGTATGAATTATTAAGAATACACACTAACATTCACAATAATTTGTGAACTACTGTAATAATCGCAACGTATAAAAGTATATAAAATTAAAGGTTAAAAAGTGTTCCTACTGTCAAATACTCTGGTGGTGTATCTGATGAGAAGGTTCCATCGGGAAACGAAATACGGCAGTATAGAGGAGTTACTCGTCGGATAGCGATAGCGGATGAAAATATAGGATCATTGGTTTCTTGCACCATTACTTCATCTCCTGGGGAAACGGAACCGTGATCGTGAAAATTTGGCTTTTTGTATTCAAAAGAGAAGCAAAAGATTAAATACGAATGAACACTTCTAAGTTAGTACAAAAAGTCATGATAGATTATTTGGAAAATAAGAATCTGTGATGATCAATATAAAAATTTAGTAGGAACTAAGAATGATTTAAAAACCAATACAAATCGTGTTGTATACATATATAAAGATTTAATCCGAATCCAAAAGATGGCTTGAATTACTGGAACATACAGTATATATACACAATATATCAACGGATTACAACACAGAACCATGGATTTATTCAAGATCAAGTTCGATCACTCAAGCTCATACGCTTTAATCAATGCAAAATTTACAGATTTCTCTACCTCAGTCAGTCAGTAACAACTTAGAACTTCTTACGTACGTACATCAGTTCGAGTTGCCACACCACATTAGCACAGAGATGCAGTGGTCGATTCAAATCCCCTAGTGGTAGAGGTATTAAGAGTATAAGCAGTTTTCAGGAAAATTAGTGTTTGGAGATGTTATTTAAAGAGTATAATCCAGTGAAATAAATTTGGGAAGAGGAAAAAAGGGACATGAAGAATTCAGAAGATTAGAATTTGGGAGAACACAAAGAGTGTATGCACCTGCACCATTGCAAACGATTTTGAGCCATGTCATTCAGGGTCTCTAACCATCGGTTGCTATCATCTCGCGGTCCCCAACCAGGTAGTCTACACCTACCAATATGACTCAGTCCACTTGTCAGTGACTTCATGGAATTGTGCCATGTTTTGGTTTGGCCGCCCCTAGCTTTCTTCCAACCTACTCCTATACCACTGAACATAGCACGTCGAGGCAGTCGGTCGTTGGGCATACGTAACACGTGTCCCAGCCATCTCAACTGATGAAGTTTCACTACGTCATCAATCGATTTGCCATCCTTACTTAGTACCCGTTTCCTAACAACTGTGTTACTTACTCGATGGTCCCATGATATACAAGCAATGTTTCGAAGACACCTATGATCGAATACTAGTAACCTACGGATATCCTCTACTCTTACCGGCCATGTTTCACTGCCATAAAGTAGGACGGGACGAACTGCTGCGCAGTAAACACGTCCTTTGGTTGATAGACGGATATCTCGCCTACGCCATAAATGACGCAAGTTGGCAAAAGCTAGTCGAGCCTTCTGTATCCGTGCTGAGATTTCGTAACACACTAAACCACAATGGCTGATGAGACTTCCCAGATAAGTGAAGCGATCGACACGCTCAATTACTTCACTCCCTATCACTAGTGCGGGTGTCGATGTAACCCAATCCTGAAGCAACATTTTGCATTTCGAGGGGGAGAATCGCATCCCAAACATGCTAGCATTGTTGCTTAGAGTGGTCAGAAGACTCGGCATTTTGTCAGCGTCTTCACCAAATAAAACTATGTCATCTGCATATTTTAAGTCAACAAGTGAACCTCCTGGTAGAAGTTCAACCCCTGGAAATTTAGATGAGAGTGTTATCTCTAAAAGTACGTCGACTACAAAGTTGAACAAGAATGGAAAGAGTAAACAGCCCTGACGAACACCACTTGAGGTAATCAATTCTGATGACAGTTCGCCATAAGCTCTCACTCTACCAGTTGTGTTCGAGTAGAGAGCCTTTACAAGGTTAATGTACTTCTTTGGTACTCCTTTCAGTGACAAACACTGCCATAGAACCTCACGATCAACAGAGTCGAATGCTGCTTTAAGGTCGAGAAATACTACCATTGTGGGGCGTCTGAATGTGTGTCTGTGTTCTAGAACCTGACGTAGTGTGAATATGTGGTCTATACAACCACGTCCAGGTCGAAAACCGGCCTGGTTTTCTCTAATCTGCTCTTCACGAGCTTTGATTAGGCGTCCAAGTATTATTGAGGCTAATATTTTAGACACTATATTAGTCAAACTGATTCCTCTGTGATTGTCACAAGAGGACTTTTGTCCTTTCTTATTGACTGGCACAATCAATGGTTTAGTCCAATCAGATGGGATTACGTCCAGTTCCCAAATCCTACCTAAGACCACAGTTAATCTCATTGCTAATACTGGACCACCATCCTTGAAAATCTCAGGAGCAAACCTGTCAGGGCCTGCTGCTCTCCCTCGCTTCAGATTTCCTATGGCTTTTTCAACTTCGTAAAGAGTCGGAGGACCTACATTAACTTGCCATTCAGGTTGACTGGAGATCGTGGGAAACCAAAGTGTGGCTGAAGGCCAGTTGAACTGATCCGTAAAGTGTTCTGCCCATCGATCCAATCTCCTGGATTGAGAATGTATAATATGTACATCTTCCTCTGAGATAGTTTCCGTAACAGTCGGTTTCCTTAACAAGTCTGAACAATTGTCTGCTATTACCTATTACCGCTGCCTTTTCCATCTCTCTTGCTTTCGCTACCCACTACTGTTCACGATCATTGCGTAGACTTCTTGTCAGCTTGCGCTTAAGCTGACTCCGCTCTTCGTTATGTTCAGAGCTAGGTGGAATGAGTTCCCGAGCATCTATCAGTGCAATAAATGCTGCTGAGATCCAGTGTTGCTCCCTAACCTTCTGGTCTACCTTACTAGCAGATATCACTGCTGTTTCCACAGCTTTTCGGATATCATTCCATGCAGCCTCGGGGTGGGCATCACATACATGGCTGCCTAACTGTTTTCCTAGTTGTTCCTGAAATATACTCTTAGCTTGACTATCATTAAGTAGGGCCCTAAGAGGTTTCCTTGCAGCGTCTTTCCTACGTCCAGTAAGACGCAGACAGATACGCGCTCGTACTAGAGCATGATCTGAATCTAAGCATGTGCTCCAGAATGAGCGACAGTCTTCTATCGAGCCCCTCCATCGGTGGCTGATAGCGATGTGATCTATTTGGGTCCAACGTTGGGACGAATTAGGGGGTCGCCATGTTAAAAGATGTTTTTCCTTATGCTTAAAGTTAGTATTTGCAAGGAACAGTCGGTTATCTGAGCATAGCTGCAACAGACGGTCGCCATTATCTGTTCTTTGAGCCACGACACCATAAGATCCACCCAGGTGTCTTTGGCGCGAGATTCTAAAGTCCTAGCTAAGGAAGCCTGCTGTCTTATTTGGCGAAGTGTTCGTACGTTAAAAGCTCCTACGTGTAGTTTAGAGCGTGGTTTCAGGAGACCAGGAATAGCGTTCCGCGTAGTCGAATCGTTTGCTTTAGCGGTGCGAGGTGATAAAGAGAGGTGAGGAGGGTTAGTCATGGAGATAAGAGAGGTATTAGGAGGTGTAGGAAGGATTTGAATGTGACCAACTTGGTCCCGTGTGCTGTTACGGGTATGAGGGCTGATATCACTTCCCGGCTGCCCACACCGTGGAAGGGTATTTCTTGAGGAACCTGTCAACGCAACCCAATCCTGAAGCAACATTTTGCATTTCGAGGGGGAGAATCGCATCCCAAACATGCTAGCATTGTTGCTTAGAGTGGTCAGAAGACTCAGCATAGCTCCAACAGACGGTCGCCATTATCTGTTCTTTGAGACACGACACCATAAGATCCACCCAGGTGTCTTTCCTTATCGCTTAGTTTACCTACTTGAGCATTAAAGTCACCGGCCATTATTACTACATCCGAGCGCCTAGCTTTTCGGAGAAGGTCGGAGAGCTTTCTGTAAAATTCATCTTTTACATCATCTGAGCTGCAGTCAGTGGGAGAATAGGCAGAAACGACGAAAAGGCAACGACGAGTGTCCCTATCTTTTCGGATTCTTACAGTTCCGTTTGGTCGAACAGCGCACAAACGACTGTCTACTGGCTTCTCTACCTCTCACTTTGTGTTGAAATTTGGTCATTGGTCATTACACCTAATAGGGCCAGTTCCTTCTAAAATAACCAATGATCAATTGTCTATGACATGTCACCTATGATGAATAAACAAACCTCACAGCTAAATAATAGAAGAATCATACTGTTGTACTCCAGAGGAGTTCCTCTACACGAGATGAAGTTATCTGACTCTTCATCCCACTTGTACTAATGTCAATGCAAGTATCCTGGCATCAAAGAGTTCAAAAATGTACCAGGCATTATGTGAAAATCAAGAAATATAGTGAAGTATAGTGAATTTTGTCAAAAGTTATTTACTATATGTTGTTTTGACTGAATACCAAAAATAATGAGTATTGTATTGATAAATATAAACGCACAACGGACAATCTTACGTGATCGTAGTTAGTAGGATGTTTACTGCATGCGATATAGAAGAACCGAGGATATACATCAGTTCCAATAACAATACCAGCCATTTGAGCACAAGTAACATGAAACTGTGTAGAACAACCATTATACCAGCAAGAAGCCAATGGAAGAAATCCTCTCCCAGGTAATTGACACACAAAACATATTGAAGGAAGAGATAATGCAATTTTGTCTCCAGTTTCAACTGGTATGTTAGTATTGTCAGAATGATGTACACTAGAAATCCGATTGTTATTATTCTGAATGAACGGTCTTATTTTTTTTAAATTAAAATCAATTGAAACTGTGGAAGTAGTGATGAGTAGCTTTCGTGAAAAACGATTACTGTGAAATAAAAGAGGAGAAAAAAAGCAAGTCAAATATGTATTAGAACAAAGTCTTAAGGAACCAGACCTTTTCAAAGGAGAAATGTATTGATATATTTCTATCATTTACAATTTAATACTCATAGTTTTGTTATTTTTAGTCATACATTATTATCAACAGTATTTGGTGGTTGAATAACTGAAGAGAAAAAACAAAACAAGTACACCTGCATATGCCCTACATAGGACAGAATCTGTTAACATTGATAACCAAGTGTCTGATGAAACACTAAGATAAGCAGGGAAGGCGATTTTCGGGAAGAATATATTTGGTTGCATGTAAAGATAGCGTAACGTGAGAACAGGAGAAGCTACCCACGGTAGACCGTAACGTGATTTGGCGATGATGTTTGACCGAGAGCTAGTTGGTATTTAACATAACGAAGATGGTCAGTGACGATCCTGAGTGTTCACAAGACCGATCCATTCTAAAATAGATGGAACATGGTTAGCAGTAAAGTTCGGGAGGCATATTTCGTTCTACTTGAATGTATCTGCATCCCAAATTTGATGTCCGCCCCGCAATTCAAACCCAGTACCTTTAGCTTCAAACTCCAACGAGTTACCTACCCAGCTATTGAATCTATATATAGCCACAAACGTGTTCAACGGGTCCCAAATAGAATGAAACATGCGTTCTGGATTCCACTGCTAAGCATATTCTATACACTTATATCATAATGGCTATATCGAGGCTCACAGAATTAACATATGTCAACTAGGATTGATCGAATTTCAATAAAAATATCAACAACCAGATAGCACAAACCTTTAGTTACCATAAAACAGCAAACCTAAGTAATTATCTCATGAAAGAAAACTTACTTCGATTTGTTTAATCGACATATTTTACTTCTCTGATCAGGTGATTTATAATTTTCTCGTAAAATTTTGTTATCAACATTAGGTGGTCTCTTACGCACTAATTTCAAATTCTTCTGTAAATAACTTGAAGATTTGAAGGGAACAGCCTCAGAGAAGCAACTTGGCGAACTAATATTTTGCATTTCATTAATCACACGTTTATTACTTTCGCTGGAATATAATATGGCTGAAGATATAGCTGATTTGATCGTGTCTTCAGAAATAAATGCCAATCGTTTAGGCACATCTTCAAAATAGCAACCTGGAGTAATTAGTGCACAAACTAAATGTGCCCAGTAAGGTCGTCCAGTAAATGCATTATTTATGTTGGCTAGTGCTTTAATAGCTCCTCCGCGCATATAACAGAATACACACGTCTGTAAAATAATCAGATGCAAATAAACAAAGTTATATATATATATATATATATATATATATATATATATATGACTGTCTGAGCTAAAATGAATCTGTGTATGTAATAAGGTAAAAGTAACTCACAAATGTACACCCTAATTGAACATTTTGACAAAACCATCTGATAAAAATGAACCTCATAAGACTATTTACAAGAATACAACAGATGAATAAATATATTTTTTCGTTTCATAATTAAGATCACGGGGCAATCTTACCTAAACAACCATTAAGAACTATGAAGAATTGGACAGTCGTCTCGACTACGTGTGAGACTCCTTAGCGATGAGCATTAACGACCTCACCGGGCATCAAACTCAGGACCTTCGGTTTCGTGTGCGAACATTTAACCTCCTATAACTTCAAATTCACTTAAGTAGCTCTTGATAAGCTTTCGGGAAATCGTGAAATATTATGAGAATTAACATGAATAATATCAAAAATCGTTTAAAATATAAAAGTTTTGAGTATTAAAAAAACCAAACATACGGATGGGAAATTTTTTCCCCAGAAATCTCGGAAAAGTGAATAACAGTTAATGAAAAAACTATTAAATAAACTTCATAATCAAGATGAAAAACGAATATACTATAATTTGAAATATTCCCATATTGTAAATTTAGAACAACATATATAAGCGAACAATATTGTTTTCGATTAGATCCTCATCAGGCTTTACTCTAATATACAGTAATATTTATATGCATATACGAAATTATTAAACCAATCAAGGTAGTTTATAAGTCAATGATAAGTCAATGATATGTAATCTTTTCCATTGTTATCATATACTATAATTTGTGTGTGATTTTACAATTTATCATTAATCCACATAACCAATAATTCACGTGGATAGAATTTATTCTTTGAACTATATAACTGATACCTATGCTATAGTCAGTCAGTCAGTCAGCTACAACGTAGGACCAGGCACATATGTGCATCGGTCCAGGTTGCCATACCGCATCAGCACAACAAGATGAACACCGGATTCATAGCAGTGGTTGGGTCAAAGGTGGTAATATATAAGAGAAAGATTGCATATAGAGATATAGTACAAGAAGAAAGAATTGGTTCGTAGAAAGAAAGATATGAAGTGATTTTAATCTCTTAGTTTAAGGGAAGATAGAAAGTGTATACACCGACGCCATTGTGATCGATTCTGAGCCATGTCACCAAGAGTTTCCAACCTTTGGTTACGATAGTCACGCCGACTCCAACCAAGTAGTCTGCATCTACCAACATGGCTCAGACTACAAGTTAGTGTCTTCAGGCATTGATGCCAAGTTTTGGTTTGGCTGCCCCTAACTTTCTTCCAACTATCTCCAATACCGAATAACATTGCACGTCGTGGTAATCCGTGTTCGGGCATACGTAACACGTGGCCCAACCATCTCAGTCGATAAAGATTCATAACCTCATCAACTGATTTACCATCATTTCCTAATACCATGCGTCTAACCTCACTATTACTTACCCGGTGATCCCAGCAGATGCCAGCAATATTTCTAAGGCATCTGTGGTCAAATACTAATAGCTTACGAGTGTCTTCCACTCTTAATGGCCATGTTTCGCTGCCGTAAAGTAAAACAGAACGGACTGCCGCGCAGTATACTCGTCCTTTTATTGATAGACGGATATCTCGCCTTCGCCACAGGTGACGTAAGTTGGCAAAAGCCAAACGAGCTTTTCGAATCCGTGCTGAGATTTCGTCCGACACCAACCCATTAGGGCTGATCAGACTTCCAAGATAAGTGAAGTTGTCAACGCGTTCGACTACTTCACTCGCTATCCTTAGTTCAGGTGTTGACGCAGACCAGTCCTGAAGCAACAACTTGCATTTAGAGGGAGAAACCTATGCTATAATGAAACTTTAAAACAATAATAACAATATATAAATGAATAAGCATTTGCTTATTATATTTTCATTATTTACAATGGAAAAATCGAAAATAACTGTGCAATAGACCAAGATAATTAAATCTGCATGACAATTTTTGTATGCAATTACTTGCTTAATATGAATAACCCAGTTTGCTAATAAATTGTACATCTTAATAAGTCATAAGAACGATTGCTTTTTATCAACATCTATTATGAAACTATTCTAACTCGATTGTAAAGATATAGAATGAACTGTCTTTAGTTTCATAAAAGCAATTTTTTAGAGATAATTCCCGGAATTTACTTACGCTGCGTGTGAGGAAGATACCCATCAATGACATTAGGAGATGGACGCTAAATAATGCGAATTTGATTTACGTTAGACATATACACCATTGGATCCAAACTCAGTTAAGGCAAATCACTCTCTGTGAGACATTAAGGTTTTGGGTTCGATCACTGAAGATATCCACTAATGAGGAATCTCATACTAAAACAAAACAGTTGTCTAGTGTTTACATGTTTTCAGTGGTTGTTTAACACAGAAAAATTTGTAATATAAACTGCACGATGCTATATTGTATAGCAGTGAATGCTAATAACAAAATATCGGTCAAGTTGCATTATACAACCACTACCCTAACTGATTTGATGTTGCGTTATATTTTGCTTTGACGTCAAGTAGTTGGAGAAGATTAACAGAAAGCCGTAGAACTAAACTCAAAGTTCTTTAGCACTACTAATTATTTAGTCGTATATTTACAATTTTGATATAACTGGTGACAATTATGTTTGGTATGGACCCGATTCCATTAATTTTTTAGTCAGAAATATTCCCATGGAGTCATTCGTGTGTGCATGTGTGTGTTGAAGATAAAATACCCCTCTTCATAACATATACACTCAGCAGGTTGATCATACTAAACATCTTGTTGGACATTATTTTATCAAGCTATTGAACGGATATAAAAGAGGGATAGTTCATAATACAGCTTACGCATAATTGAGAATATAATCGAATGGCCTAGCAACACTTCATTTAACCTTATTCTAGATCACAAACTTTATTTACTGAAGCATGCTTCAACTAAAAACATGGAAACCATCTGTACTACTAATATCTCGTAACGGCCAATTATCCTCAAAAGAGAAAAATATAAGCATACGTAGTTGCTACTGGTTCTTTTACCGCTGGCATATCAAAGTTTAATACTGCACTAAACGAGGTAAATTATAGAATGTCTGGGTTAAAAGTTGATATTAACACTTTAGGATGAATTTTACTTTAAGTCGGTAGAATCGCATCCTGGGATAAAGATAAATATCGATTAGTCACTTGAAAAATAAGACTTGAAGTATCTGGAGGTATTATTCTTGCAAAGATGGTTTAATGAAATAGTACAGCACGGTTGAATGGTACACTATGTTATGACAAAAATAGTACATATTATTACTAACAGAATCACATTTTTGTCACAGTTTATAATCATTTCATTCATCATGACAACGATACGATTACAATACGTAATTTATAAGACATTAAATGACATTATTAACTTACGGGTTTTGAACTCGCCATACAAGCATCGCAATACCAGGATTTTTTAAAGTTCAGATTATGTTTTTGTTCTAATGAAGACTCATATTTAAATCCAAGTTCATCTTGAACACCATAACATCTAGCATGTACAGTTAAGCAACAACGAAAACACCTGAGTATACGACTTTTAACTGTCGGAGGAAACTGTACAGAAGATTTATAGCTGTGATATGCAACTTCGGGAATGTGTGGTTCCGAGTATAAAGGTAGTTTGTCTTCTCGATGTCCACTAGATAAAAGCTTAGAAACATGCTAAAATGATAGATAACAAAAGTGATAAGTAGACTGTATTTTCCTAAACTAAGACTAAAGTAATGGGTCAAGTCTGAAATACAATTTGATAGTTTTCATACATCTAGAACAACCTAATAGTATTGTTGACCATAACACGATAGCCATGGTACAAAAACATTTCTACCTAGATATAATTAGAGGACGATATTGAATAGCTGAGACACACAGGTTGGTGGATCAGATTATTACGTGAGTGCTCAAAAAGTATAGTCGGATCAGTAGAATATGAGAGATTATTAACTTGAATTAACCTAACAGATTTACTCCGTTAAAACAAGTAAACACACTAAGAGCTATCAAGACAAAATATTGATACACGTCAGTAGTTCGACAAGGCCTCAAGTATTTTACGTTAGAAACGGCCATTTAAAATTAAATACAAAATTACCCTCCTGTTATTGATGTTAGTAACTGAATTTTGATCAGTTTCTTTTTTGCATGTGCATCCTGAGCGGATTACCTTGATATTGTCATCACGTCACAAATTTTCAAGTTGAGTAGTGGCTAGCAGTAGGGTTCAGAAAGTGGATTTTGTCGTGTTTGGGACTTATCAGCTAGATGTACATGCATTTCAGTGTTGATGATCGTACTGAGGCTCGAACCTAGTATCTTTCACTTTAAAAGCCCAATACCTTATCCACTGAATTAATAAGTTCAGATAGTTACTTGTCTGTGCAACTGGGATGAATTTTACTATTAATTTGTAAGGGTTCGCATCTTCTCAGATAGGAAGAAACATGCGTCCTGGTTTACAATCCAAGCCACTATTCAACCTTACGTAAAAACTTGTATTTCTTATGTTCAAGTTTATATAACCCTCGATATTAATTAACATCTCACGTTTTTTATTCCATTTATTTATTTCCTCTATGATGATGTGAAATGTGGCAACTGCATCTTAACCTCTTCTATATAAAAGTCTTATTTTACCAACACTTAGGCAACTACCAAAAGTACAGATTTCAAAGGTTTACCGATAAAAGAGTGCTAAGATTTGTTCACCTGAGGAGTCCACAAAAATGAGCAAACAGCACAATATGGTTTATGACTTCCGATGAAAATGTTGAAATTTCGTTCAATCTGTTCATTAGCTGGATTTCCACACCACAGAGGGTACAAGCGAGGGTTAGTAGCGATATGAAAAGGGATTTTGGCCGTTTCGAACTCTAAAATTAGAGGTAAATATCTCAGGAAAGTAAATAGCAAACGAATATATGACAAAGAAATTGACAATAAATGAGTAACTATGAAGAACAAAACTCCGCCTGGAGTCCCTCCGGGGGCTACTGCCGGTCCCAAGCCCGGATAAAGGAGGAGGGTTGGGCATGGGGTTAGCGTCCCCATCCCGTAGAAAACTAACTCGCTAAAAAAACGCTAACCAGAAAAAATTATTCAAACCTTTTAAACTCTGCCCTGGGAGTCAGAAGGTCTTCATTTAGAAGAATTATGACGCCTCATGATGAAAGCCGAATTCCTTCGGAAGTTACGAGGCCGATGCCCCTTCTGACAACCAGAGCAACCATTTATTTAGGTACATGGAATGTTCGTACAATGTGGGACACCGGAAGAGCCTTCCAAATTGCTGCAGAAATGAGAAGATACAACCTAGAGGTACTTGGGATCAGTGAAACACATTGGACACAAGTTGGACAACAACGACTAACTACAGGAGAGCTCCTGTTATACTCCGGCCATGAAGAAGAAAATGCACCACATACACAAGGAGTTGCATTGATGCTGTCCAAACAAGCACAAAATGCGCTTATAGGATGGGAATCTCATGGACCAAGGATCATCAAAGCCTCGTTCAAAACAAAGAAAGAGGGCATTTCAATGAACATCATCCAATGCTATGCGCCTACCAACGACTACAATGAAGACGCTAAAGATCAATTCTACAATAGGCTGCAGTCAATAGTCGAGAAGTGCCCAACAAAGGACCTGACCATTCTGATGGGAGATTTCAACGCCAAGGTTGGAACGGACAACACTGGATATGAAGACATCATGGGACGACACGGACTGGGAGAAAGAAACGAAAATGGTGGGAGATTTGCAAACCTATGTGCCTTCAATAAGCTGGTCATAGGCGGCACCATGTTCCCACATAAACGCATACACAAAACCACATGGACTTCACCGGATCACTCTACACAAAACCAAATCGACCATATTTGCATCAACAAAACGTTCAGGAGGACTATAGAGGACGTGAGAACCAAGAGAGGAGCTGATATAGCATCAGATCATCACTTACTGGTCGCCAAGATGAAATTGAAACTCAAGAAACACTGGACAACGGGGCAGACAGTATCACAAAAGTTCAATACGGCCTTTCTTCAGGATACTAACAAACTCAACAAATTCAAGATAGTCCTCAGCAACAAGTTCCAGGCCTTTCATGATCTACTCAATGGAGAAGGAACTACTGTGGAGAGCAACTGGAAGGGGATCAAAGAGGCAATCACTTCAACATGTCATGAGGTCCTGGGTCACAAGAAGCACCACCACAAGGAATGGATCACTGTTGATACACTGGATAAGATTCAAGAAAGAAGAAACAAGAAGGCAGCGATCAATACCAGCCGAACAAGAGCAGAAAAAGCTAAGGCACAAGCTGAATACACGGAAATAAACAAACAAGTGAAAAGGAGCATCAGAACCGACAAACGTAAATATGTGGAAGATTTAGCAACGACGGCGGAAAAGGCTTCAAGAGAAGGAAACATGAGACAATTGTATGACACGACAAAGAAGCTCTCTGGAAATCGCCGCAAACCAGAACGACCAGTGAAAAGCAAGGAAGGCAAGGTAATCACCCACATTGAAGAGCAACAAAACAGGTGGATAGAACACTTCAAAGAACTCTTGAATCGACCAGCGCCACTGAACCCACCCAACATCGAAGCAGCACCCACGGACCTCCCAATCAATGTTGGCCCACCAACAATTGAAGAAATCAGCATGGCCATCAGACAAATCAAGAGTGGCAAAGCAGCAGGACCAGACAACATCCCAGCAGAGGCACTAAAAGCAGACGTAGCGGCAACTGCAAGGATACTCCACATTCTCTTCAATAAGATTTGGGATGAGGAACAAGTACCAACAGACTGGAAAGAAGGACTTCTAATCAAAATACCGAAGAAAGGCGATCTCAGCAAGTGTGATAACTACAGAGGCATCACTCTTCTCTCAATACCGGGAAAAGTCTTCAACAGGGTATTGTTAAACAGGATGAAGGACTGCGTAGACGCTCAACTTCGAGACCAACAGGCAGGATTCCGTAAGGATAGATCGTGTGCAGACCAAATCGCAACTCTACGGATCATTGTGGAACAATCAATTGAATGGAATTCATCACTCTACATCAACTTCATTGACTACGAAAAGGCATTTGACAGCGTGGACAGAACAACACTATGGAAGCTTCTTCGACACTACGGCGTGCCTCAGAAGATAGTCAATATCATACAGAACTCATATGATGGATTACACTGCAAAATTGTGCATGGAGGACAGTTGACAAAGTCGTTCGAAGTGAAGACCGGTGTTAGGCAAGGTTGCTTACTCTCACCCTTTCTCTTTCTCCTGGTGATCGACTGGATCATGAAGACGTCAACGTCTGAAGGAAAGCGCGGGATACAATGGACATCTAAGATGCAGTTGGATGATCTAGACTTCGCAGACGATCTGGCCCTTCTATCCCACACGCAACAACAGATGCAGGAGAAGACAAACAGCGTGGCAGCAGCCTCAGCAGCAGTAGGTCTCAACATACACAAAGGGAAAAGCAGGATTCTCCGATACAACACAGCATGCACCAATCCAATCACAATTGACAGAGAAGATTTGGAAGATGTAAAAACCTTTACATATTTGGGCAGCATCATTGATGAACAGGGTGGATCTGATGCAGATGTGAAGGCGCGGATCGGCAAAGCAAGAGCAGCATATTTACAACTGAAGAACATCTGGAGCTCAAAGCAACTGTCAACCAACACCAAGGTCAGGATTTTCAATACAAATGTCAAGACAGTTCTACTGTATGGGGCAGAAACCTGGAGAACTACAAAAGCCATCATCCAGAAAATACAGGTGTTTATTAACAGTTGTCTACGCAAAATACTTCAGATCCATTGGCCGGACACTATTAGCAACAACGTATTGTGGGAGAGAACAAACCAGATCCCAGTGGAGGAAGAAATCAGGAAGAAGCGCTGGAAGTGGATAGGACACACATTGAGGAAAGCACCGAACTGCGTCACAAGACAAGCCCTCACATGGAATCCTGAAGGTCAACGGAAAAGAGGAAGACCAAAGAACACATTACGCCGAGAACTGGAGACAGACATGAGAAAAATGAACAAGAATTGGATGGAACTAGAAAAGAAAGCCCAGGACAGAGTGGGTTGGAGAATGCTGGTCAGCGGCCTATGCTCCATTGGGAGTAACAGGCCTGTCTGTCTGTCTATGAAGAACAAGAAAGTTACAAGAAGCGTAAATAAAAAGCATTAATGAGTACTCTAATGGAACTCAGTACACTCTACTAATCCAAGTCAACCACTCAGTTTCAAGCGACATAATAACCTGGTACTTATGTTCATCGGCCTAAATTGCAGCTCCATAAAAGCACATGAAGATGAAATTATCAAGACGGATACAAGAGCAGTAGATGAAGTATGTGGTGGTAAAAGAGAATTGGATAAATTTCGAACACATAGTTTCCTTTATCATCTTGAAGAGAGCATGAAAAAAGATTTAATCATAATAGCATGAGTTCATTTTATTTCGTTTGGTTGTCGTCAGCTGCTTACAATCTGCGATATGGAAAAATCATAATTACAAAATGAGTCTGAATCGCTACATGAAAGATTCTAGTTGGAAGTTGCTTTAAAGACACATCAGTATAGTGTATCAAGGGTGTAAATAAACTTAAGACTGAATAAAATATTGCACCTCATATAAAAGAACCTTCTACGACAATTATAGTAATCAAAGATCCAAAGGGCTGAAAACAAGTGGTTACGTAAAGAGTAAACACTGTTTTTCATGCTATTTGCAAAACCTCTGCGATCATGCAAACCCTCGCATTCTCTTAAGAACCTCTGAAGTATAACCAAATCACACATTGGATGGACGAAATGACTGAAAACTGAGGCCAATGCTTTCGATAAAGTGGTCAATGATTTATATATCGCATGTTAGATAAAATCCATCAGCCTTATCCACGACCTTCAAATCAAGGTTTGCAAGAACTTCCACAAATCTCTCTCGAAAACTCAGATGAAGGAACAACTAAATTTATGGCTCTCGGAAAACCCTCCGAACTTTATTTATAATTAATTGAATAAAAAGCTTAATAATATAGAAACATAAGCCTTATTACTGGGACTCAAATCTCACAAGTACTGACAGGATCGATACAGAACCTTAATTTGAAAATTTACTTGACTAGCTAAAAGATCTAAATCCAATGAATGAGGGAAAGAAGGGCTGGTTCAATTCAGAGTCAGTTGATATTGCTAACCAATATTTCACTTTGAGATCAAAGTCGGATATTCTATCCAAAGAGCATCTGACAACTTTAGGAAATATTAAACCAAACGACAAGGTAATGGTCATACGAAGAGATTAAGGTTAGGGTGTCGTTTTAATAAACACAACTCAGTATACCACTAAAATGACGTCAATCCTAGACGACCAATTGAGGTTCAAGGCAAATAAAGACAACAATGATTTAACTAACTCAACAGAAAAACGAATAACAGGCGTGCTTAGAGAACTTCTAAGAAGAAAATGATTTCTAATTCTGCCTACAATGATCTACGGCATCGTGGCTCATGTCTGGCTCACATATATGGTCTACCAAAGGTGCACAAAACATGATATTCTGTGAATCATTAATTCGCCATATCACAAAGTTGCACGCTGGTTAGTAGATAAGCTAGAACCAGTCCGCTAAAGATATATGCTAAGAAATTCATTTCAATTTGCAGACAGACTAAATCATATGAATGTTACTGGTAAGTCCATGGTTTCTTTTAATGTAAAATCCTTGTTCACCAAAATAGCACTTCCTGAAATTATTGATAATAATTTGCAGAATTCTGACCTACCTTTATCAGAACCAGAATCTAAAAAAATACTACTTATGTGAACAAAATATGTCAAATTTCAGTTCAATAGCGCTATATACTGTCAAATTGGTGTAGCAATGGGAAGTCTATTATATCCAATTATGGCAAACATTTTTATGGGTTATCTTGAAAACACAGAGCTTAAACAAATGATTAGCGAAACGATGGAATGCTCCGGATATGTCGATGACACATTGTCTGCAACAGTAAACACCGTGCAGTCCACCTGTTAGAACTCTTTAACAATGCTCATCTCAACACAGTTTACTACGGAACACGAGAAAAATGACATGTTCTACTTTCTTGACATTGCCATACAACGGAGGAGAGAAGGCACAGTTCAACGTTTGGTTCATGAACGTTTCAAAAGGCCTTTGAACAAGAGAGAGAAGTACTTTAAACAATGCAGTTACCAAACATCTCTTGCATACAAGACATTAGGTAGATACCGTACAATCCCTCAAAGTGGTTAATAATCGGTCAAGTTCCAGTCTTCCAAAGTTTGCTGAAGCTGCTGTAATCAGGCGTTAGAAACCTAATTCATGTGCTTAAGGGGAGATCGTTGTTAATCTTCCCTTGCCTTGGTGACAAATACTCCCTGATTACATCATAAAGATCCTTTTTAAGTCTCCTTTCATTAATTATATAATTGGCTCCCAAATGCCCTGGTACGGCCGAGAGTGGGGAGAGTCCGCTCTCCCTCTCGAAATACTCTCACACGGCCACGTGTATACAGCCTCTGCCAGAGAAGTCCTACTCATTGCCTTCTCGTGGCGAAGGTGTTGTTTACGAAAATGAGAAGACCAAAAGCGAATGTCCGGCGCTTTAACCGGATCCCAAACCAATGGTGCACATGGGCTCCAGTATCCTGAGGGAACAAATGGCGTATGAACCAATCGTTGGTCACCGGCTACCATACGACTGCATCTCCTTGCGATGCTCTACTGCCTTGTGGGTTAGACCTTTAGGTCAAAGGCTCGGGGAGTGGCCCCCTAAGATAACCACCTGCTTCGGTTTGGGCACCCGGGCAGTATCACAGCCCACACGCAAATATGATGAACTGCCTATAATTATGGAAACTACTTTACTTGCTTCAACTAACAATCAAATTATTATTATTATTATTATTATTATTATTATTATTATTATTATTATTATTATCTACCACATTATTCACCCTCTTCATACTTAAACAGCGGCTCGTCTTTGGTGGAAATTCGACTGTATCTAAATGTTCTCGAGTCACTGTCCGGTTGAAAATTGTATGTTACCACTGAATATGAGTACTGAAGCAGTTTTTCTGAAACCACGTGCACCATTCAAACTGGCTGCCTTCAACGTTCGCACACTCATGCAGGTTGGACAACAGATAGGGCTGGCTATGTCTTTGGAAAGTCTTAATATCGATGTTTGTTGTCTATCCGAGACCCGTATTCAAGACTCTGGTGAAGTACTACAAATTCGCTCTTCATCTGTCGCTTCGAAAAGCTTGTTTTACGTGCGCTTATTCGAGGACCCCGTGGCATCTTCGTCTGGTCTTGCTGGCGTTGGTGTCGCACTAAGCGCTAGAGCTGAGGCAGCACTAATCGACTGGATCCCCATTAACAGTCATTTATGTGCTGTTAGATTAGAAAGTTTCATCAAAGATGAAATCGGTGCGAAAAACGATGTCATTTCGTCATCTCTACCTATGCTCCGACAGATTGCAACCAGTATGCGATCAAGTATGAGTTTTACCACCAGCTAACAGTTCATCTACAGAAAGTGCGTTCGACAGATATTGCAGTATTAGCCGGAGATCTGAATGCTCAGGTCGGACGTCTAGGCACAACAGAGAGTCGTTTAGGTGGCCAATGGGGACTTGTTGGTCGCAGGACAGATAACGGGGACCGTCTACTAAAACTGTGCACAGACCACAACCTGTTTCTGGCTAGCACTAACTTTCGGCACAGTCATCGCCGATGTGCCACTGGGCGTCCTCCCTCTGCACCCCAAGCCTGAACTCAGATTGATCATATCGCGATCAGTTACTGCAGGAGTGGTTGTGTACAAGACTGCCGCTACTTTTGGAGCACCTATCTGGACTCTGATCATGCCTTGGTCTGCGCCCATCTTACCTTACTTTTCAGTGGACAACGAAGTGACCGCCACCAAAGGATTGATTTCAGCAAGTTGGTTGCAACTTCTGTTGCAATGAACTATCGAACCGAGCTAGCTTCTAGGCTAGCTACCATTCCACCGAAAAGTATAGATGAGCATTGGTTGCAATTACATGACGCCATGAAAATGGCGGGTACAGTCAGTTGTGGGCTCGCGAAAAGTCCCGCTTATAAGCACTGGGTTTCTTCTGGTTCCTTACAACTCATCGAAGCCCATCGGTCTACTCCGGATGACCGTGAGTTTGACCACAAACGAAGGCTGTTACGTAATGAAACCAGGCAAAGCTTGCGTAAGGACCGAGAAGCCTGGTGGTCGGAGCGTGCTAATGAGCTGAAAGCAGCAGCTGCATCTGGTAACTACCGGAAGCCCTTCCAACTCATCTGAGCCACTGGCAGCAAGAAGTCTGGTGTGAGCGAAACAATCTGTGAGGATGACGGGATGCCAATCACCAACATTCATCGACGTCTTGGACGATGGGCAGAATTCTTCGAAGGGCAGTTCAGCTGCCTTGCTGCTCCAGGAACACCGATCAGACTGTCACGCCCTCCATGGCCGGTGAAGTCTGATCTACCAAATGAGGTGGAAGTCCGCAAGGAACTCCAACTCTTGAAGCGTTACAAATCACCCGGCCCAGATGACTTACTTCCGGCTCTTTTTAAAGATGGTGGTGACTTTCTGATTAAGGAATTGATGACGTTGTTTACAAAGGTTTGGGAACTAGAGAGTGTACCAACGTCATGGAATGAGTCGATAGTTGTCCCTATCTTTAAAAAGGGTTCACGTCGTTCCTGTAACAACTATCGGGGGATAAGTCTTCTTCCGATTGCGTCCAAGCTATTGGCTTCCGTCATACTTCATAGGTTGTTCAAAACCCGAGAAAGATTGACCGGCGAGGAGCAGGCTGGTTTTCGTTCCGGTCGAGGATGTATTGATCATATCTTCACCCTCCACCAAATGTTAGAACACCGTCATACTTATCACAGGCCAACAGGGCTGTTCTTTGGAATTGTCTATTGAAGAAGGGTGTGCCTGAGAAGTTTATTAACATCCTAAAAGCCCTATATACAAACACCTCAGGCAGAGTGAGGGCATGCAACCACCTCTCTCCATTGTTCCATTCGAGCAGAGGAGTTAGACAGGGTTGAGATGGTGGAGAAGATTTGTAGCTCAGGTGGATGATTTTGGTGGAGTTCTGTTCTCTGAGCTGGATGGTTTGGTCGTGGAGCTTTCATCGTTCTTCTGAACGACATCATCAGCACAAACTTCAGATAGAAGTGAAGTGTTTGAATTTCTCCATATGTATCTCAAAGCTTGTTCTGTGCACCTCGACGTTGATTGGTTCTTATTGACCTTAAATTTGTCGTTGTTTACTTCTTTGTTTTGGTTGTGTCTCCCATTGTATTGATTTTTGTTCTTATGTTTGTGCATGATTTTTCTGATTGGTTGATAAATTGGATTGATTTCAATATGCTTGTTGATTGCTGATTGACCTGAATGCCAAACTTCTATAAATTCTCTGGTGTTTTTGGAGTTTTCTCTGTCTAAGATTTCCACATTTTTCCAATCGAATGAGTGTCCGCAGTTGTCCACGTGTATTGGTATAAGTGAAGAGATATCATGCCGTTTGACTGCTAATTGATGTTCATGTAGGCGAAGGTGAAGGGGGCGTCCGCTTTGTCCGATGTAGTGTTTTTCGCAGTTGGCACAATTTATTTTGTATACTCAAGTATATAGGAAACCGACCCATACGGATCAAATTCTCAACTACAATAGCAACAACCCCAGAGCGCACAAAATCAACTGCGTACACAATTTGTTCAAGAGGGCGAGGACACACTGCAGCACACTGGCAGCACGAAGAAATGAAGAGAAATACCTAAAGAATGTATTTCAGAAGAACGGCTACCCCATCAACTTCATCAAAAAATACCAACCACATGCAGCATTAGAACTCAAGTCAAGCACAAAAATCAACAAAAGGATCACCCTGCCATATATACAAGGAATATCAGAAACCGCGACGAGACTGCTGAAAACCTTCGGAATAGGTGTGGCACACAAACCGACAAAATCAATACAATTAATCTTATGCAAACCAAAAGATGAAATAACAAAGGAAAACAAATCAAACATCATTTACAAAATAAATTGTGCCAACTGCGAAAAACACTACATCGGACAAAGCGGACGGCCCCTTCACCTTCGCCTACATGAACATCAATTAGCAGTCAAACGGCATGATATCTCTTCACTTATATACAGGGGTTGAACTTCTACCAGGAGGTTCACTTGTTGACTTAGAATATGCAGATGACATAGTTTTATTTGGTGAAGACGCTGACAAAATGCCGAGTCTTCTGACCACAACAATGCTAGCATGTTCGGGTTGCGATTCTCCCCCTCGAAATGCAAAATGTTGCTTCAGGATTGGGTTACATCGATACCCGCACTAGTGATAGGGAGTGAAGTAATTGAGCGTGTCGATCGCTTCACTTATCTGGGAAGTCTCATCAGCCATTGTGGTTTAGTGTGTTACGAAATCTCAGCACGGATACAGAAGGCTCGACTAGCTTTTGCCAACTTGCGTCATTTATGGCGTAGGCGAGATATCCGTCTATCAACCAAAGGACGTGTTTACTGCGCAGCAGTTCGTCCCGTCCTACTTTATGGCAGTGAAACATGGCCGGTAAGAGTAGAGGATATCCGTAGGTTACTAGTATTCGATCATAGGTGTCTTCGAAACATTGCTTGTATATCATGGGACCATCGAGTAAGTAACACAGTTGTTAAGAAACGGGTACTAAGTAAGGATGGCAAATCGATTGATGACGTAGTGAAACTTCATCAGTTGAGATGGCTGGGACACGTGTTACGTATGCCCAACGACCGACTGCCTCGACGTGCTATGTTCAGTGGTATAGGAGTAGGTTGGAAGAAAGCTAGGGGCGGCCAAACCAAAACATGGCACAATTCCATGAAGTCACTGACAAGTGGACTGAGTCATATTGGTAGGTGTAGACTACCTGGTTGGGGACCGCGAGATGATAGCAACCGATGGTTAGAGACCCTGAATGACATGGCTCAAAATCGTTTGCAATGGTGCAGGTGCATACACTCTTTGTGTTCTCCCAAATTCTAATCTTCTGAATTCTTCATGTCCCTTTTTTCCTCTTCCCAAATTTATTTCACTGGATTATACTCTTTAAATAACATCTCCAAACACTAATTTTCCTGAAAACTGCTTATACTCTTAATACCTCTACCACTAGGGGATTTGAATCGACCACTGCATCTCTGTGCTAATGTGGTGTGGCAACTCGAACTGATGTACGTACGTACGAAGTTCTACGTTGTTACTGACTGACTGACTTATATCAATACACGTGGACAACTGCGGACACTCATTCGATTGGAAAAATGTGGAAATCTTAGACAGAGAAAACTCCAAAAACACCAGAGAATTTATAGAAGTTTGGCATTCAGGTCAATCAGCAATCAACAAGCATATTGAAATCAATCCAATTTATCAACCAATCAGAAAAATCATGCACAAACATAAGAACAAAAATCAATACAATGGGAGACACAACCAAAACAAAGAAGTAAACAACGACAAATTTAAGGTCAATAAGAACCAATCAACGTCGAGGTGCACAGAACAAGCTTTGAGATACATATGGAGAAATTCAAACACTTCACTTCTATCTGAAGTTTGTGCTGATGATGTCGTTCAGAAGAACGATGAAAGCTCCACGACCAAACCATCCAGCTCAGAGAACAAAACTCCACCAAAATTAGACAGGGTTGCCCAATCTCACCATTTTTCTTCAACTTTGCCATCGATGAAATTCTGGAAACAGCTCTGATGGATGTAAGTAATGGTGGTGTGGATCTGTTGCCTGGAGAAAGGCTTCTCGACCTTGAGTATGCGGATGATATTTTCTTACTGTGCGATAATGCCCAAAGCATGCAATCCACACTCAATTAATTGGCAATCAGTGTCCGTAGGTGCGGTATGTGCTTTGCACCTTCGAAGTGCAAAGTACTTCTACAAGACTGACAGGATTTTAATCCTGTACTCACCCTGGATGGTGAGCAGTTAAAAGTATTCGAGAAGTTCGTGTATCTAAGTAGCTGCATAAGTGCTGGTGGGGGTGTGAGTGATGAGATCAATGCACGTATAGTGAAAGCCAGAGCGGCTTATGCCAATCTGGGCCACCTTTGGCACCTTCGTGATGTTAATCTGGCTGTAGAAGGTCGGATCTACAACGCGTCGGTGAGAGCAGTTTTACTCTATGCTTGTGAAACATGGCCTCTCCGAGTTGAGGACGTTAGACGACTCTGTGTTCGATCATCGCTGTCTCCGAAGGATTGCTGACATCCAGTGGCGACACCATGTCAGTAATGCAGAGGTTCGGCATCGTGTGTTCGGGCACAGAGATGATAAGGCAATCGGTGTCACCATCTTGAAACACCGACTTCGGTGGCTTGGACATGTTCTACGAAGGTCGTCCCAGAGAATTCCACGTCGTGCATTATTTGCCGACTCTGGTACTGGTTGGAAGAAGCGGAGAAGTGGTCAGTGTATGACATGGTGTCGTGGTATGAAAGAAAGCTGCAAAGGGCTGACTTCTGTTGGTCCTTCACGACTCCCTGGCTGGGTTCCGATAGATGGTGTTACACAGTGGCTAGAGACGTTATCAGATATGGCTTAGAATAGAAGCTAGTGGTGATCCTGCTGTAACCTTCTTTTACTTTCTTCATAAAAAGTGGTTGTGTCTCCCTTAACTGAAAGATTTCTTCTGATTGTACCTTTCCGTTCCCTCATTATTACTATACTACTTTACACCAATCTCTTCGTTATTGTTCTTTTTTTACGCTCCTTACCATTTTTTTTCTTCGAGTTCTCATTGTTTTGTGTGGCGCACATATATTGGCGCTCTCTTGTACCAATATTTGTGTTCAAATAAAATAAAATAATAAAATAAATTATATAATTGTCTTTATTCCTTATATATATATATATATATATATATATATATATATATATATATATATATAGATAGATAGATAGATAGATAGATAGATAGAGAGAGAGAGAGAGAGAGAGAGAGAGAGAGAGAAACAACCCCATCTTTCGTGAGGTGATGTTTTAACTGCCCTCGTTATATTCGTTAAGATTTCTAGGCTTTCCAATAATACTATATCCCAGTTACGTTACTGTATGCCACATAACTCGTGGTTTTTATAATGTATGCTATTTACCGTCGAAATTAACGAGCAAATAGTTAGAATATTGTAAAATCTATTTGGAAGTTAGTAAATGCATACAACAAAATAAAGTAACCAATATATAAAATTCAACCAGAAAAACCTACGTTTAGAGGAATACCGCAGATCAATAGAGTTCAGATCGCCAACTTTGGGAGGCGGTGAATCAGAAGAGTAAGGTTTAAAAAGAGAAGGGTCTTTGGCCATAACCTCATTGTTCTCGATACCCAATATATCCTTGGCACTATCTAAAGGCTAGATAATCTTCAGTAAACTAACCTGGATACGTGAGTGTGCTCTCAACATGATGACTTGTTTCCTTTGGCAGATATTCATCGAGAGGATGTGGTGGTAGGTTTTTTCCATTTTTCCAATCATTAAATAACTCGGGCTGAAATCTTCGCACAAAAGGATCCATACATATTTTAACTGTGTCATCCCAACAGGTACATATTTTCGCATGTTTTCCGTACTCTATCCACCTAGTAAGTGCAAAATTTGTTGATTCAGCAATGTTTAAACCCATATTGAAACCGGAATGATAAGCATAAGGAAAAGTTATCATAAATTCACCTTCGTGTTGTAAAATCTAGGAATATATGAGATTGGAAGTGTATCTTACTTTCTTAGTTGGGATTCCAGATTGGGAAAGAACTGTAGGACTAATTAAAACGCATTTATGCCTTAAGAAACAATGGCATTTCAAGAATTCCGACCTAAAATATTCTTAAAGACAATTAGCTTTAAAAAAATGCGTACCGGAAACAAAGGATTCAAATTTACGCGCAAAAGCTGGAGGTATGACGTACCAGCACTTTGGAAGACCGTAATGCAGGTAGTTTATAGAGTATAAGTCTACATCTTCAACATGCCACGGAAACGTAGATCGCCACATTCCATAATACAAATATGGAGTATTCACACCTGGTATTTGTACACCCTCTTCTTCGAAAACCCGACTTAGTACTGAGTCGAGTTTTGCAATGTTCCAAATATGCTGGTCAATATCCATCAAAGTTCCACTGACATTAGCCCCATACAGTGGACGACTTGTGCCTATCGACGACCAGTATTTTCTTTCAAGGTGATCGTAGTCCCTGTACTTAGGGGTGCAATATATACTTGATAAAGCAATATTTTTAAAGTCACTGAATTTGAGACTTTTTCTGGGTGAAATATCCTACACTGATTGTTGAGAAAATTAATAAAACAGACCTGAAAATATATACCACGTCCACCATATGTGCTTTGACATATAGGTTTTTCTACCAAACATTCATCAATATTATCATAACCTTTGCGACGCCCAACCCAATTTGAAGGTGGTATTACTTTGCAAAGCCCTACATGATGAGCACCGAGGGACTCTATCATGGAAATACATTTGCTGAAGTCTTCAAATTCTGCAACTGTAGGTTTGTACACAGGTATTTCTGGAATTGTTGTTTGATTAAGAGTCTTAATTTTAACACAAGATGGCATTCACACGTACCTCTAACTTATCAATAAACGGAGTTTGCGCCAGGCCGTAATCTCGGTACATGACCTTATGTCAAATCCAGCTCCAAACGATTCAAACGCGCGTGGGCGTATTAGAATAAACTGTGTTATAGGCAGGAGGAAGGCTTTCCAAATGTGCGTTTCAGTCTTATCAAAGCAATTAGTTCTCTAAAGGCGCGTACTTGATGTGATCATCTTTGCTTTTGTGTACTTGTTGCATCCCAAAGTATTCTTGGTCTACTTTAACTCGAAGTATTTCGGTTAAGGTTTGAAATTTTGCTAAAATTTGTTCTGTGGTGCCTTCTTTCTGAATGACTCTGGCACTTGTGTTCATATTGTGATTATATTGTGTTTCAAACTTTATTAATTTGATTACAGTGTTTGGCAGTACTTATAAATCTATACATCCAAATTGTTTATTCCTCGTGGAGGAAGGAATGCGATATGATGAGTGTAAAAAATGGTTTCATAAGATGTGTACACGTTTAAGTCCCACTGCATACAAAAGATGCTCAAAGCCTAATTCGCATTAGCTTTGTATGTTTTGCTGTACGAATAAGATGTTACTAATCCAGTAGTCTATGAGCCTATTGGCTTTGGGCTGTCAGAATAAAGATAGTGGTTGCACTGGTAACACGAGAACTGACAGTGAAGAATGTTTCGTTGTAGTACGTGCTGTTAAAACATGCGTTGAACACCCGACTGTGATTGACGGAGAAGCAAGTCATTGGTGGACTCCCGTTGAGTCACAAAATAGACTACCAAAATCTGATAGTAAGACAGAACTCCATCCTGGCGTGGCTGAGAAAACTTTAATCTCGTCGAATATTATTGTGAGAAATTTGCTCAAGTCAAGCGATCCTGATCCCAGAATTAGACACGCACATGATTTGGAAAAGCTCGGAGAACTTATTCGTAACGTCTTACTAGATACCTTTAAGGGAGTTCAGGACAAAAAAGCTCATAAGAATAGGTAAGAAGACCGATGACACTGTTGAACCTCGGCCATACAGATTCTTTAAGGTAATCCTAGGGTCGGAGAAGCAACATGATCCTCTGTTAAGTAGCACTCGTAGTCACGACAATGCCGACATTCCAGTAAGACCTGATATGTCTCCTGATGATAGAATAAAAAGGAAGGTGGAACCAGCTGAACTAGGAACTCGTCGACGAAACGGTGAGGAAATCCTCCAATTAGTGGGTTTCGGAATAGTCAGGTCTTGGAAGCGAAGGCTACCAAGGTCTATGTGGATAGGTCGTTCTCCCTAAGAGTTCTATATATCAATGCTCGTAGTCTAACAAACAAGTTCTATAGACTAAGAGCATTGGTGGACAAGTTAAGGTAAATTATTGTAGCTGTGACGGAAACTTGGTTAGTCATTGACTTCGACATAACTCCGAAATTATCTGGATACCACTACCTAAGAAGTGATAGACATAAATGTAGGGAAGGAGGTGGCGTCCTTTTATACCATATCTGGCACTACGTAGACCGAATAACAGTCCACCATGGACGATCTAACAAGTCGAAAAACCTTTCAGATGTATGACAAAGCGTTGGAATATGTTCATCTCAACTGGCTTAGGACAGTTCAGATTTAGCTGTCGTAAGACTAGTAATGCCTGTAAAGCGTTAATAAGTAATACTAGACGATCATATGAAAAACATTGGTTGGGGATTGTAAAAATGGTCTAAATCGAACTCAGAGAAGTGATAGGATTCCAGCACTGTTGATACAAGAAAATCCGTTGATGCTGGCAAGAGATGATGTCGAAAAAGCTAGAGCTTTATCGCAATATTTCAGTAGAGTGATTCTTATCGATAATGAGGAATAACCAACGATTCTTTGTGATTTTGGTGTCTTGTTGATGGACCCTGTAGTCATTGGGAAAGTCGCTGCCTTAAGACTACGTCGGCATCTCAGACCTGATAATCAAGGGGTCCTGATGATATTCATCCTAGGGTCATGAAAGTCCTATCGGATGTAATTGCTGAACCTATAGTCATACTGTTTGACAGGTCTCTGAGTCAGTTCACACTGCCAAAAGACTGGAAAGACGTGTTAATTAGTCCGGTATATAAGATGGGGGTAAAGATTTAGTTAGTAACTATCGGCCCGATAGTCTAAAACTAATGGAAAAGATTATTCAGATGGCTATTATAAACTATGTGGAAGGGGATAATCTTGTGTCCAGAGAACAACATGGTTTTCGGAAGGGCCTATCATGTTTGACAAATCTGCTCATTGCAAGAGAAGTTTGGGCTGCGGCAAAACATCGAAATATTCATGAAGATGTGATTTTCATAGATCTAAGTAAAGCCTTTGATGACGTATCCCATCGCGGTCATAAACTAAATCTGGAAAGCTTTGGAATCCATTGTAAGGTCATTGACTGGATAAGTGACTTTCTCAGTGATAAGAGACAGGGGATAAGGGTGAATGGAGCTGTCTCTCAATGTGGAATCCCGTAAGAAGTGGAGTTCCCTAAGGTACAATCCTTGGTCCTCTCCTCTTTTTATCTTATGTAAATGAATTAACAACCGTAGAAAATTCATCGGTTCTACTCTTCGCCGACGATCTAAATATTTGGAGACCCACAGCATATCGGATAGAATAGTATTACAGGATGATTCTAGCTCACTGGTAGCATGGATGGACAGGTGATCACTAGAAGTAAATCCCAACAACAGTGTGGTCATGCAATTAAATAACTATAATGATTCGTATCACTACACAATATGTGAATTCGTGCTACCCAAATTAAGAAACCACAACGATTTAGGAGTCGTAATAGGCAGTGATCTCAAAACCACTAGTAACTGTAAGGCTGTCGCAGCAAAATGCCATAGAGGATTATGGGCTATTCATAGGTCTTTCTAGTATTTGGATGAAAAAATATTTAGATTGTTAAACTCCACTTTCGTGAGACCGCATTTGAAATATGGGATTCAACCAATGAGTTCTTATTTCAAGTATGAAGCAGACATGCTGGTACATGCTGGTTGCTACCACCCTTTTGACTAACCTTTCAGATTATATAGTGTTTGTAGAATGTATAATACTTAATACGACTCATTAATCACTCATAAAATTTTATGACTGACGTGCACTGATATAGAGTCTCTGTTGATTTTAAATATTAGATATCTAGTGATATTAATCATACCCACCAAATCTAAACGTGAGATAACTGGGAAAATATATATTCAAGGCTTAGTACGGATAGAAGTTTAACAATGGTGAACGCGAGAACATTCATTTGAGATTCATTCGGTCAAATAGCATGGTCCAGTTTTGCGGGCGTGGTCATTCTTGTGTAATTTATCTCTTTTATTCATATTAAACAGATTGTTCTATCTCCAGCCCAAATGTGTTTTTTAGATACTCAAAGTATTATATTGCTGATCATTACGATACGACGAGACAATGATGTGACTTTCATGTAAGGTCTCATATATTAGGTTTTCACGTCAGCCTCTTTATGATCGAGAACTAGTCAATCAATCTGTGATATTGTGGTTGTTATCTTACGCTCACTATTCAGACACATTTTCCCGATTCTCTGCTGGATTAGCTGTTTTACCAAGACAACTATAACATGCTAACTCGGAATTTTACACTGAAACTGTGTGGCTAGCATCGGATGAAAAATCTTTAAAAAAGCAAACAATAAAAAATGTTGAATAATTTTTTGTGGTTAGCGTTTTTTTAGCGAGTTAGTTTTCTACGGGATGGAGTCGCTAACCCTATTCCCAACCCGCCTACTTTATCCGGGCTTGGGACCGACAGTAGCCCTCGGAGTGACTCAGGGCGGAATTAATAAAAGATGTGGTTATTAGCTTTCTTGACGTTTTACTCTCTTGGTGCACTTTCTGTTCTAATGAACAGCCTTCCTTATTCCAATCCTGACCTTTCTTCCTTCATTTGAACTTCCTCCACCTTGGTAAATATCATAACTCATTGTTCTTTATTACTGCATTCTCTCATTTGGAGACTCTGATCACATTTCACTCTAGCCACAAGAGCTCGTACAAATTTAATCTAATAATTTTTCATACCTCTGTCTGTTCCACCACAAAATGTTGAGCACTGTTTAGCGTTCATATCCAAGTGCCTTGCTGCTCTCCAGTTTCTCTATTTTCAGAATCTTGCTCTGAGGGTAAAGTTATGGAACTTCGAACATCTGGAACGAACCCGAGGTACGCGTGTCCTTAAGGTCATAGTTGACATCAAGCTCTCTACAAGTCTACTCTATAACAACTATAAACTTAGAAAGTTGCATTGTATAAATACTTGGCACGACCAAAATCCTAACATGGTTATGCTGAGATTGGATCTGGTGTGGAGGATGCGTTGCCACTTTGGAAAGATTATGAAGACTATTCAGTGTAGTGCTAAAGCATAAACATAATCATTAACCCTCCAGAACATGAAGAAACAATTAGGGATAATTAAAATAACACGTTTTGTCAATAAAAAAATAAAGAGAATCCGGCGAAGAAAATTTTCATCTACTTAAATAGTAGAAGCGTTTTCATAGTTGTATAATAAATATATGTATCTCGAAGGATAGAAAAGATTGCATTGTCAGAGGATTCGAGACCCTAATTATTAAATGAGATTACGTAATAACCAGGCGATTAGACAAAAATTAAGGATGAAAATAAATTACAGGCCAAGGTTATGAATGGCAGTTGTCTGCGTGACAGATATGAAAAACGAAAAACATTGTGGTCATAATAATAACTGTGTAGTAATCATCAAAAACTGTTAAAGAAGAATAATCACTGGATATGATTTAAATTTACAAAGCACTAATTCACAAAAACCTATTAAACCACGCTACAAAAGAGAATTAATACCAAGGGAAGATTAGAGGTCGGATGTGTCGTTTTTGCACGCAGACGTCTGGCTTGAATCGGTGGTTCGCCAGTGCTTCAGAAGTGCACGGGTTTTTCATTAGACCTTCCCTCCATATATTTGCTTTTGTTGTGCAAAATATTTTAAAAGAAGGCTTCCTCAAAACGACGTGTTTACAGCT